TGGCATTTAATCTTTGAAGTAGTCCCCTTCTGAAGCCACACACTTTATCCAGTGCTGTTTTCATTAATGGAAACATGCCTGGAGCTCCTTTTTTTTTTGAGATAGCAAGCAGCTACCTTATCGAATTTTCTTCCTTGATTTCTAGAAATCCTGTTACTTTTAAGTGGGATTTGATTTTTGAAGAGGAAAAATTTGCAAGGGGCAAAATCTGGGGAATATGATGGTTGTCGGACATAAGGAATGATGTCTTGGTCAAAAACTGCTGCACAAACCATGGTCATCAATGGAGCCTCTGGTATGGTGAGACAAGCACAAACTATATACTTTCCTTCCAAACACTGATGTAAATAAGAGATGGGAGGGAGACTGTTATAACTTACTGTGCATGTGCAACAGAGTTTAAGGTCAAGCAGATTCACTCTGCATATTTTAGCTGTTACCATAGAAACAGTCCAATACTTTTTGATCAGACTTTATATGTTGAAGTGCAGCCATTTTGAGTTGCTATCATGTACATTTTTCAACAAGTTCTATAGCATTTTTTTAGCCATCAGGATAATAAAAAAAAAAATCAAATTTTGAGAGGAAACATCATTTCAGAAAACTAAAACACTAAGAAACTTTAATTATCATTAGCTTCTAGTCTTGTTATTTAGCCAACAGCTACACCCATCTCTTTCATAGCAATTAAAACATCTTGAAATGATTTAGAAGGTTTGTTGGTAAGAGGAGTAGAAGGAGTCATGCTTAAAGTTTGAAACGTTTCATGTTTATTCCCTCTCTAAGCATGATGCCTGATATTTACATTAAGACATTTCTTTATAATCTAAGGATGGTGGGTGTCTGTACATATCATTAAAAGTATTTTCATTCTTTGTCTAATGATCTTCACAAATGTTACAACCCCAGTGGAAGATCTCATACTACTTAAAATAAAAATGGTTTCAAATATGTATCATTAATGTCTTATTTTCCATTTGGTATCAAACAGGCTGTTATAGTGAGATTAGGAATACGAGTTTCTGGCACATCAACAGCTATATAGGTAATTTAGCATATTTTTTTCTTTGCCTTGACAAAAAGTGTTTTCCTTTCAAAAAGGAAACAAGTACAAGAATGAATATTATTAAAGAACACAATTTTTCTATTATTGATTTAATGAAGGCCAAATATTTAGAGTATACATCAAAAACAACATTCATTTTTTGCAGCTAGTTTGATAGCATCTCCCAACCAAACACTCATTTTAGCAAGTCAATAATCGAAACAAAAAGATCATTATATGATCTGTGATGTGAAAAGCATAGAATTTAAAATGACATTCTCTGCAGAAGATATACATTTCAATAAATTTGGAAAGCAAAATTAATTGTATAACATTTTATGCTTTTTGATTTCAATAAAACATTGATAAAAAAATCTGATATCTCAATAAAACTGAGCTTTAAATAAAAAAAAAAAAAAAAATGAAAAATATTTTTAAAAAGCTAAAGAAATTTAAAATATATAAGCAAGTACTGAATTAATTACACCAAGTTTTTTGTACTTGACATTTTATACACACACAATTATATACTGCCGATTCCTCCTGATGAGTACACTGAACAATTACAAAAAAGCTTGTCAATGAAACACTTGAGACAGGGTGCTGAATATAACATCAATGAGCTAAGTGACAAATTTCATACTTGTATTAATCCTATATATATATATATATATATATATATATGTGTGTGTGTGTGTAAATAATAACAGTATTATAGACCAGCCACACTTCCCAAATAATAATGAACCAAGAAAAATGCATAAACAGAGAAAGTGTGTGTGTGTGTGAGAAATACATGTTTATAAATCAAAGATGTGTTTGAATAAATTCTTTGTTGTTACCAGTGATTCAGCTTCTTGTTACTAAGTCAGGAGTTGTGTGTTGAATTGGTTGAGAAAATAGACAAATGAAAGAGTGAAATAAAACAAAATATTTATTCTGTCAAATTTTTTCTGTATAGAAAATATTTCAAGTAATTTTTCTTTTAATAATGAAGCAAAAGTTGAACTTACTCTACTAGTGAATTAGCAAGCAAGTAATGCGTATAATCTAAGCCATGTACGGCTACTGCACAGAGCGCTAATTTTAGCGTTTTGTCCTGTTGTTAGCACACACTGAAAGAGAACTAGCCTCTTCAGGATCACAGCCCGTGTGCTCCCATTTTTTTTTTTTTTTTTAAACCATGCCCAAAAGCTGAAAAGAGGTTAATGTTGCTAATAGGGCTTTTCACACATGAAGGTCTGACAAAAAGGTTTGTTTGCTACATGCTGATCTATTCTCTGGTCTACAGAGTGTATTACTCTTTCCTCTATCCCATGCCATCCCTGGTAGTGGAATCCAATAAATGGTTTGAAACAGAAATGATAAACTGACTGATAGCATGTCTTAAGAATACTGCAAGAATACATCTTCTAAAACATGGTTACAACAAAAAGAATAAATTCCCTTGACCAAACAATTACTGCAATGACTCCTTACAAAACCATAGAAGTTTATAATGCTGCATGAAAGTGTTTTAGTGCATATGTAATATACAACGTAATTTTAAAGCAGTTAAAAGACATTTTTTAAAAAGATCTGAAATTGTTTCTTATTAATATAAACATTATATTTACAGAGTACACATGTCTGAGTAGACATTCCTGATTTTTTAAAGAGTAACATCTACTGGTCTAGATATCAAAGTCTTAAAAAATGTGCCTCTCAACAGGAATCAAACCTCTCTTCTTTTTAACCTGGGAAACTTGGCTTGTTGTGGCTAAGTGGTTAGGCATACCTGGCTTGAAAGTGGCTTCTAAGGTTAAGAGGAATACAGGTTTGATTCCTGTCAAAAGGCACATTTTGAATGCTCCGACTGAGATGTAAAATTGGCTGTTAAAAACAAAACTTAGAAATTTACTCAAATATGTGTACTCTCTAAACATGTTTTATAGTAAGAACCATCTGAAATAGATTGAATGACATTAATGAGAGGAAAAAAGTACTTACATGAGCATTGAAATATGCTAGAAATAATTGAAAATTTCATGGTCTTCCTATTTGAATTTTCTGATGAATTTAGTTCTTAAGTTAATGATTCAATAAGCTCGTAATGAGTTCTATGACAATAAAAATTCCCCTATCACATTCTTAAATATTTGAGCTTAACAACTTTAACAAAATATTGCAATAGTCATAAATATGAATGCTGGTCATTATTTTAAGTAAGGGCATTCTAATGAAAAGATTTTAAAATTTCTACTTCACTGAAACTATATTGACAAAGAGTGTCAAGATAAAAAACAGCAAGAACAAAATAGAGTAGGACTAGCAATAAAATATAAAAATGCTTTATTTAAAAATCAATAAAAATGAAATAAAATAAACTTGAAAATGTTTCATCCAATCCCCTCAAAATTGGTTTTCTAATTTTTTTTTCCAATCTAAGAATAGTTGGAATAACATTTGATAAAACTATATTTTGTATAAATTTTATTGCTGTGAAATGTATATAAACACAAATTTTTCAAAGATAATTATGCAATTATTCACCAGATCCTATTTTGAAAAAATAAAGAAAAATCATTAATTTGAAGAACGTTTGGTAATGTTCTTAAGCCCATTGTCCAAATCTGATTGTCTGAAAATAATTGTCCAAAAATAAAATAAATCTCGAATTACATTCTCTTACACATGAAAAAATTCAGTCTATGTGCCCCATGATGCTTAAAAATTCATAGCTTTTCTCTAAATATATTCACACTGTAGATAGAATTGATAAAAAAAGCAATCATTTTTATCCAGTGGATTAAAATTTGTTTGCATTTCTTTTTTTCAAACCTTTCACCTAAATACAAATTTGTCTTTTTCTCAAGATTCTGTTGTCATAGCTTTAACATAATATACAAATCAAAGATATAAATTTCTTCTCTTACTGCAGAAATCAAACAATTTAACACAGCAAAAGGCATGGAAACAGTTTCTGACAGTTTTTCTAAGAAAAAGCAAAGCTTTTCAAACCAGTTAGGGGATATATGAATATAAAAGAGTGTCTATATGCTAATATTAACCATTTCTTCATAAGGAAATATTTGATATTCATTAATCGAACAGCTAGTGATGTAGTCAGTTGAAATTTATAAAAATCTTTCTTTTAAAACAAAATAGGAAAATAGGTTTCTCAAGTTCAAGTAATGTGGAACATCAACATCCAGATTATGTCATCGTTTTCACTTCAGGTTACATGTGATATCCATTCTTTGTTGTTAAAAGTCCTCAAGTGATGTGCTGTTATTTGTTTGTGATTCTATAGCACTAGTATAAAAAGTTCGAAGAATGGTCTCTACCAAGATCCACAATCTTCATTTGTCCCAAGCCATTTTAATCATTGATCTTAGAAAGTGGTTGTATACAGCTGGCAATTGAGATATTTCTAAACGAATTTGGTGTCATGCATGGCATCTATATGAATATCTCAATTTGACAAAGCTGTTTAAGAACATGACTTGAGTTTCCAGGTTAATGTTTTGGTTTTGTAGAAATTGGTGGTATTAGGCAAAACTACATCTTTTACAGCCTGTTCTATGTTCAATTTCCTTATCACCTATGCTAAATTTGTTATAACTCATCCATACACCGAGGTATTTAAAGTGTTTGGTATTTACTAAACACCCTGAATTCTTTTGATGGATTCATAATATGTGCCATCAATGCTTTCATTTCAATTGCAGATCATGGTTTCTGTTTTAGAAAGGTTTATTCAATTTTCTTGGAATGCATAGCTTTATAAAATAGGATACAGTAATCTTTTTAAGTTCAATCGATTTTCACAAGCAATAAAAACATTGCAAAATATTTTCAACTTTAATGTTACAACAGTGCAAGTGACTGATCTGAAAGTTAATTTTAAATAGTAAAAAGTAAATCTACAAAATGTCAAGTTTTATATGCCAAAAGTTTTAACCAAACAAGTTACCTTGACTTTCGGGTACATGTCTTTCAGGTACGTCATGTCTTTCATAGCCGAGTAATCACGGTAAACTTGAAGTACAAATTTTAAGTTGAGATCTTTCCAGTTATGTGTGGGATGCATGTTGTAAGCATTTACTTTAGTCCAGGGTTCATCCTCTGGAAAATACAGGACAGGAAAAAAACTGGAAATCAAAGAAAATATTAAAAGAACAAAATATTGCATTTTACCAATGTCTGATAAATGCAATTGTCCAAATAAACCGTCTTAGGATAGAAGGCATGAATAAATACTACTTGCTTATGTAACCTATGATAAAATTTTCAATTACTCTAAATATATATGTTGTAGCATGTAATGTGACTGATGGTGACCCACTGGTAAGAGGCAAATATACCACCAAGGAGGCTTGACAACCATCAGTTAACAAAAATGTAGAAGAGGCAGATTTTATAGTATAGAACCAAAAATAATATAAGGCTTCATTTCATTTAATGATTACTGGAATTAAATGTGGAAAAATAATTAAGGAAAATGATTATTTACAAGAAATTAGCTAATTCTTAGTGAATAGAATATAAATTTTAACTTTGAGAAAAATTAGTATAAACCTAATATGATCCTGTCCTTTACCTGCTATACTTTCCAAGTAGGATGAAAATGATGACAGATAAGTTATTTCCATGTTTGAATTCAGAAGTCATTATAACCTTGGAGACAAAAATCATTTAAATAAAAATTTATCCATTAGAGTGGTGTGGCCTTTAGGCTGAATAATTTTGGAGAGAGGTCTTTTAAAAGAAACTGCCAATGTTGACTAATGAGAAGTGTGGTTTGTTTACATAAAGATATACTTGTTGGTGGTCTTAAAGGAAGAATAGTTTTTAGGAAGTAGTTAGCTGTCTTTGTGCTTTCTGGAGCAATGGAGAACGTAAATGGTCAAATCATACTGGTGACAAGTGGGCAAAGTGTGGTAGCAACTGTAAGAACAGTCCACCAGATTATCAAAATCAGGAAAACAAGCAGACAGAGACATGCAAATGTTATCCTATTATCATGATCATCATGATGTTCGAGAATGAATGGTGCAAAATTCTGACAGCCGTATGTCTGTCAAGTATTAGAAGTGAGGAAATGAATCTACTAGTATTAAAAAATCCTATTAAACAGCTGAAATAAACTATCTTGTTAAAATCTTGTTACGTTATTCCATTTTTTTTTTTTTTTATTATTCGCCAGTATTCCAAAACTTTGATCTATCTTTGGGAATCTGTTATCTTTAAATTTGCATGATAGGTGACTGGTTTGAACTTGTGATGTTTTAATCTTGAGCTTGGGATTTCTTCAGATTTTACTTAAACATGTAAGTGGAGGAGTCTCTTGGTCAGGATGTTGCTGAACTAGTGACCAAGACAAGCTGGCCATTGCTCCTGGACATAGTGAGGAACAACAAGCCCATACCCGACAATGTTACAAACATAAAATCTAAATACAAATAGGAAGCAAGAAGATGCCAAATTTAATATAATAAATTTAGCATGTCAACAAATATAATTCAGAAAGCTTATAATTTAATGCTTACCTATATTTTACAAGAAAATTTATGCAAAATATTAACTTCAATGATGTATGTAGAAACTAAAATATATACAATTTAGATTTTTCACAGAATAATTTGTAATAGCCCACACTTATTGAAAGATGGTCATGGTGCAAGAAAAAGAAAAATAAATAAACAGTCATTTACAAAGCCTATGAATGGAGTGGTGGTGGAAGAATTACCAGCATAATAAAAGTGACATTTGCTGATATAATCACTGATTTTAGACATTTTAACCTAAATTTTTAGTTTCAGCACTCCATTTGTATATAGCACATTGAAAACCTGAAAGAAAGACATGAGTGGTCAGGAACTAAGCCAAGTGTTACTTAAAATAGGACAATTATTTATAAATCTTTAAGTGTCATACACAGACTACTTACTCTCATTAACCTTAAAAGATTAATTCTTAGTAAATTGTACTATGAAAAAAATAAATAGAAGAAATATGACCAGTGTGTTTATAAACAAAGAAATAAATGCTTAATAGATTTCTATTTTACACATTCAAATTCTACAAGAATGTTTTCAAATTCAGAGTTTTTTTTATACTAGCAAATATTTGTAATGTTAAAAGCCTGAAATAACTAAAATCATTAGATTATAGTTTTGTAAAGTTCAATTAATGTCTTTAATTATATAATGTGGATATCTTACTCTAGGCAGTTTAACATAAGATGCAGTAGAAAAACAATCCTACATCAATTGGAATAAATGCAAACTTTCCCCAAAATAAAACAAGCTTTGAATCATTTTCATCAGTTCTGATTGATGGATGGTGGACAGAGACACAGAATACAAATAAAAAAAGAAAAGAAATGTTACCATACCTGGATCACCTAGGTCATGAGGAACAGCATTAGCTAATTTAACAGGTCCTCTACCGCCTTCCATCAAGTATTCAACAACAGTGTGATCTTCTTGCTCAATGGACTTCGCTACAATTAAATAAAACAAAAATTATAATCTCTGTTAACAAATTAATGATCATTGGAGGTTTTCTAATATCTGTCATTAACAAAACATTTTTGCCATTGAAATAGGTGGGGAAAAAAAAAAGTTAAAAGTGCAGGTAACTAAAAATCTGAAGCTTGGACACAAAAATTTTTATGCAAAATACTTTCATAATTGGATAAAGTGTGATTTGTTCAAATAATTCTTTGTACTGTGCCCTCAATATGAATTCAAGTTTCATTTGAGAATAGTAATAAGCTTGACTACACAGTTTATGAACTTAAAGATAGGATATTAAAAAGTGAAGCATTGTGAACTTGATTGCAGAAAGCCCCCTTTTTCTTTTTTAATACAATGTCTCTTCTGGGCATAGGGTGATCAAAACTCTCCACAGATTCCTTCTTTTTATTATCTGTAAATAGCTATGCCTTTGGAGAGAATAGTGGAAGGGCTTCCTCATTACTTTTTACATGCATTCAAATTCAGAATTTTCTGTCTCTTAAACTGGTTACCACTCAAGGCTAGTAAGCCTAGTCTACACTGCTATTTAACCCATACTTGTGGATGAGAAGCCAAATAAGTGAAATTGTGATATTTGATTAATTTAAATATGAAAAAGTTATTGTTACTTTTAATTATACCTAATATTTATACTAGGAATTTACACTGTCTCCCCACTAAAAAAAGTTGTGACACAAGGTCAGTTTTTAAGGTGGGGAAATGAGCACGTACACCAGAGCTAGGAACAAAAAATTGCACACAGCCCCTGTAACCGTCACTTGTGCTGGCCTTAGTGCAAGCACCGATCCCTCTCTCTCTCTCTCTGGTGCAATGAAAGTGCATGGCCTTGGTAAGCTGTTCCCCAAAGCTTGGGCACCTCTCAGTATAATTTTCCTTAGTTGCAACTCTGAGTGCACTCTGCCCAAAGACAGAGACAACTGAGAGATGATAAATGGATGTGTTACAAAATACTCGAGAGAGCAGTTTACACAAATATTTATACTAAGCATGTACATATTTAAAAATTTATTCTAAAAGGAAATTTATTCAATTCTCAAAAGATGAAGATTTGCTTACCTATGTCATACTGTAGACTGAGTTGTAGTTTTGGCCAAAGCATCACTAAAGCAAAGGATGCATAGTGATGTACATCATAAGTATTATACATCCGATATTCATGACCTGGAATGGACAACAAAAATATTTTAATCAGTTTTAGTAATTAAATGAAATTTTGAATTTTTTAGAAACTAACTTGAATCAAAACAATACTTACTGGATTTCATTTAAATTTGAAATTCAAATGCCATGAAAATTATACAGAAACTAGTTCATATAACCTCTCAACTCATGAGTAGAATGCAATAAACATGTCAAAACATTACTTTATTACATATATTAGGGGTGCTGAAAAGTTCTCAGCTTAAGCCTGTTAATAACAATGACATCTTAGGAGTGAGAAAATATCAGTTTCTACATTACATTGAGCATATGAACTGCTATAACAAAGACAATATGGATTCTAAAATTGATATTTTAATACTTATCTATATGGTATCTGTAAAAGTCTCTAGTGATTTAATTAAAAATAAGTTGTTTTCTATTGTGTATTCAAGTCTCTAGTTAAAAAAGAATGAGGAACTTTTGCATATGCCTAATATGTTCTGTTAGAAAATCTTTGCAGAAAAATATTAACTTCAGAGCTAAAGAGTCAAGTCTAGACATTTTCCTCCAACTTCAGTATTTCATTAAAAAAACTTGAAGATTGGTCCAGAGTCAAAAAAGTGATACAAGTTCACAGGGTAACAATTAAAAGAAAAATCGCCATAACAGTTTTTGTGCTTAGTGGATTTTGACTTAACCATTATTTTGACAATTTTTAATTTAAAATTTGTTTGAACAAGTTTTAGTAACCCATATTGTATGCTGTGCATTGAAAAATCAGAAAGTGTTATTTTTAGAATATGATTATTTGTGGAAGGAGGTGCAGAATGTTCATTTTTTACATTCAAAATGAATGAACACTTATCAAATGTTTTAACATTTCAGAATGTTTGGGTGCTGATCTGAGGACAGTGCAGAGGATTTGGAAATAGTTGGATGATATATCCATTCAACATCATGGTGTTTGGAGTGATTACTAGTTCTAGTAATGCTATGCCTCCATTCATCTAACAGAGCCTCAGACTCAACACAGAGGCCTGCATTGAGGAGGTAGTACTACCCTGGGTCAAGAGGATGGCTGCTGGAAGATCCTATGTCTGGCAACAGGACTCTGCACCATGCCACACAAGCAGGAGAACCCAGTCATGTCTGTCAGACAATTTCTGCAACCACATCACCCCTTACATCTAGACACCTAACTCCCCAGATTGCAATCCCCCTGATTATTATGTGTGAGGTGCAGTTGAGCCAAAGACCAACAAAACTTTTTGTAATACCAAAGATGAACTGAAGGCAAGGATTATGGTAGGATTCACCAACTTAAACAAGGAGTAAGTCCAGAAGAGATTTTGAAGTCATCTGGAAGCTGTGGCTGAAGCCAATGGCGATTTTATTGAATAAATTTACTCTTTAGTATTTCAAGATATTTTTGTGTAATTTTGCTAAATATGTGTGTTAACATGAGATGTCAGTGTTATTTTAATTTTTGTGTAATTTAGATGACAATTTATCTATCACACCATATATTTATTTAAACAGATTTTTAGTAATACAGAACTTAGGTATTGCTTTAAAAGTATTAAGTTTAACATTACAAGGCATAATGAGGGATAAAAAATAAAAGGAAGTAAAAACAACTGGTTTCATTCCTACTCAAAGTTTCTTTTATCAGGGGAATTTAAAGTAAAATATAATAAATATGAGATATGAATTAGTCAATGATGGGAACGATTGGTGGGGGAAGAAACTACTAGAGACTGATAAAAGCAAGGCCTAGCAAACAATATCACTGTTTACACAGTGACGGTCTGTGAAATCTGATGTAAACCAACTCTAGTACTTTCAAATGAAAAAGCGAACTGACTAAAACAGAGAACCAATCCACACTAAATTCCATAGCACACTTTCTGCTATTTATCAGGTGTTTGCAAATTGAGGAACAATAAGTATTGTGGAACTATAGTGCCGCAAAACAGGTTGTAGCACTTTAGCAATCCATTTGGCTACCTTCTGTTGTGCTGACCCTATCATTGATAATATGGGTCTTAAAGGTACCCCCTCCTTATGGATTTTTGGAAGACCATAAAGGCGGGGTCTAACAGAGTCTGAGGTTCTAAGTTCCTCATAAATCTCAGGAGAAAGAATCCCATTTGTAACCCACTTCAATAGTTGTTTACTGGAATTTTACTTCTATTGAAGTGGTTGCATCACATTGTTCAACATTTGATTCTATCTTCTAGTTGTAAGGACGTTCTTTGCCCTCATCAAATAAGTTCTGTAGTTTATAAGTATGATTGTAGCTGCAGTGTCAGCTACATAGGGAGATCTACTCAGCAGCTTGATACTATTAATTATACAGCATGTTCCATTGAAAATCAGGAACCATACTTGGCAACAAAATGAACTCATCTGCAATACTTATTATTCCTCAATTTGCAAACATCTGATAAATAGCAGAAAGTGTGCTATGGAATTTAGTGTAAATTGGTTTTCCGTTTTAGCCAATTCACATTCACTTTTTCATTTGAAGTACTAGAATCAGTTTACATCAGGTTTCGCAGACACTTGCTGTGTAAACAGCGAGATTGTTTGCTAGGCCTTGCTTTTATCAGTCTCTAGTAGTTTCTCATTGACTAATTAATATCTCATATTTATTATATTTTACTTTAAATTCTCCTGATAAAAGAAATTTTGATGAGCAGGAGTGAAACCAGTTGTTTTTCTCTCCTTTTTATCCTCATCTCTATAAAAGGCAGGATGTGTGTGTGTGTGTGTGTATGAGAGTGTGTGATGAATGCACAGACGCAATTTTCGACAGATCTGCACCAAAATTAACATTCACATGCTCCAAGTTAGCGGGAAGGCCAAGACCGACTTTGCATTTCCCAACTCCCATCGATAGTGAAAATAATCGATTTTTTCATGCTTCTACGGCAGTTTTCATGTAGTTTGCAGCCATTTTCTACTGGCCAGAGTGAGAGCCAATAGATGGCTGCCATGAATAGGCAGGAAGATTCTATTGGCCAGTGTGAGAGCCAACAGCTGACTGACACGAATGTTAACTAGCATACTAGCAAAAAAAAAAAAAAAAAAAAAAATTGATAGCTGCATTCATCACAAGTGGGAAAAATTTAAATCTGCATGGCACTTTACTCCAATTGGTTCATTCACTTGCTTAAATTCAACGTTGATTCTGATTCCGCAGAACTGGGTTGGGTGTGAAAAAGTATTTGTTGTTAACATTCTTTTTTCATTCGGTTTTTCCAGTTACGAGTTTTTTTTTTAAAGCTGATCATTTTGTGTTCATTTTGTTTAGTTCTTTTTTCGTAACAGATTTAATGTTTAGTATAGAGCTTAGAAAAGAAATTCGCAGTGTGAGATAGGCAAGAAGTAAGGCATGTAGCAACATCAGCATGGCAAAGGGCACTCCTTTAAAGGCAAGGAAGGGCAAAAATATTTCAAGTCAAGTGATAGTGATTGCTGTATGAGTTGTACGATTTTTGAATCAAGCATGGGCAACGCTGCTAGTTAATGTTAAACTTAATACTTTTAAAGCAATATATCTTTCAGTTGCTAAACTTTACAAAAGATCATAGCTGCTAGCATTTATACAAAGTTTTTAAAAATTACATGGTAATTAAAAAAATAATAAAATCAGAAACTTACCTTCAAGATATGCAAATTTACCATATTCTTCAATAACTTTAGGAAGTTGTGTTTCTGGCTTATTTGAAATGTCATCTTGGTTTATTGGGTCAACCCATACTGTCCCACCATCACTGACAAAGTACAGTTCATTGAACAAAGCAGATTTGTACCAAGCTGGTAAATTACTAGAACAAAAAGCACAAGGCAAGGGGATATTGATTATGCAGTAGAAATCAGATGATAAAATAGGAAATATGCTTTCTGAGACAAGAAACATTAATGCTTGTGAACTCAAAAAGATTTCTTGCTTAATAATATGAGGGAGACTTTTTTGTTTTTCTACAAAGTTAAAACACAATCTTTGTAAATTAACTATATAATTGTAAACCCCCCCCCAAAAAAACAAAAAAACTTTAAACAAAAGAAAAAGTAAATATAAAGAGAATTACTTTTCGTAATCAAGTCCTAAATAATCAAATTCTTTTGTCAATATAAAGAAAAGATCAAAATAAGGTCATTGGTGACTTCTTTACAAAATTTATCATGAATCCAATTTCTAACAATAAAAACTCCAAGTTGCCCACCTGACAATGAGTAAATGTGCAGTATCAAGTATAAAAATCAATTGATAAGATTCTGACAATCAACAAAGGATAAATCAATCAGTAAAGTGAATTCTACAAAATCAGTGATTTCATATCAGTTAGATGAGATTCTATAATCATAAATCACCAAAACGTCTTCTGTCTCCATACTTGCAAAATCTCAGCTATCCATGTTATTAACAGAAATATTTGCTAACTAATTGTATTTTGATAAATTCATAAAACCAGTGAAGATCAAAGCATAGGTGCTATGCCGCAATCCAAATTACAAGAAAAATTGATTTCAGAACTTATAATCGATTAACTGCATATAGTGAAGTTCAAATTGAGCTGAAGCCTACAGTAGTTTTTAGAAGGCCCTCGTGAATATACTTACGGATTTTCTAATATAGGTCCCTGCCATTCTTCAATCTTCTGCTCCCAGTTTGAATAATTTTGAAGGGCATAGGCACAAAGCTGGGGAGCAGCATCTCCTTTCTGCCCAAACCACCGAGAATAACGTCTAGAAAAAATATACAATAGTTTTATTTTGTAAGTTTCAAGGATTATGGAGAGAAAAAAAAAAAAGACCCATAGAAGTTGACAAACTTTTAGAAATTACATCAGAACAAAGCATATTAATTTAGGCAATATTCTCATTTCTAAACATTTTTTGCATGAATCAGGCTTTTTAACAGTTGAATACGTAAATGTTTCATATTTTTCAAAGACAAATAACTGTAAATATAAGTGTCTTTATCCCATATCTTAAAACCCTTGTAAATTGGAGACACACTTGTTTAAATCAAAAGGATTTTCAATTTTAAGCTGAAGATAAGCAGTGATTCCTACCCTAATTTGAACCAATGAATTTTACATAGATTAAAAAAAATGACTTTTCATGTTAATTTCAAGAATTTGCATGTGAAACATGTGGAATAGTAAGATCCATAGAGGCTTGACAATGATAATTGCCCAGTTTTATGGTACAGAACTAAAGAAAAATGTAAAAGAACACTTTATTGCATCTAATATGTATTATAATTAAATGGGTAAAGTATTAAGAAAGTTTATAAAAAAAAGAAAAAAAGATTTTTTGCAAATGAATATTGTATTAATTTTGGGGATAAATATAAATTATATAGCAATGACTTTCCAGATACAACTTGCATGAAGATAAATTGTAATAAACCTATTCCTTAAAAATAGATTGTAGGACTTTTTCAAGCATAAGCCGTACAGAAATAGATTATAAACTTCTATTATAAAGACCAATCACTTTTACAAATGCAAAATCTCACTTGATCTGGTATTTTTTAAACAGTTCTTTTAGGCTATCTACTCTGTAGTACTTGGCTCATGGTTGTTGAAATTTGCTACAGATTAGTACCTTAGCATAACTGGGGATTGGGCACTTCGAAGAGGTTAAGAGGTAGCAAGCTTGTCTTGCTAGATTAATTATGACTGAATAGTGATTTTAATCCTTACTGGGTTCCCCATACTTTCAACCTTGTGCTACATCTAAGCCACACTTAGAAAAACACCTGGTTACACTCACCAAGTTGGGCAGAAATTATGAAAATTACTATATGACCAAAGTAAAATTACTTAAAGAGCTATCCATTAGCTTTGTGTGGTTCTTAGGCTGAATAAATTTGGAGAAATGGCTTTTATGAGGAAAAAAAAAAAAAAAAACTCAAGCTGACCAATGAGCTGTGTGGTTTTTGTTTCATTGGAAGAACTCAGGCTAATGCTTTCTGCTGACTTGAAATGGAAAGATTATATTGAATCAATTGTTAAGTCTGCTGCTAGGAAAGTTGGTTCATTGTGTTATGCTAGAAACTTTTCTTACCAGAATTTATCTTACACATTTATAAATCTACCATTTATTCATGCATTGAATATTGTTGATGCTTCTGCTATGTATTTAGAGATTCTTGATAAAATCCAAAGAAGAATATGCAATGTTATCTGTCCTGACCTGGCATGTTGGCTTTCTACCACTGTAATGTAGCTTCTCTGTGCTTTTTCTATAAAGATTTTCATAAGAATTTCTCTTTGGTACTTAGACTTTATAAATTTAAGTACAATACTAGATTGGCAACTAGATCTCATCATTTTACATATGAAATGGCTGCTAGATGTAACCATAAGTTCTATGCTAACAGTTTCTTCTTTCACAATTTTTGATTGTGGAATTCTTCCAGCCTTTTGCTTCCCAGTCAACTTTAATCTTCAAAAATTTAAATGCAATATCATTCATTATCTTCTGCCTTAATTCCTGTTCTCTTATTGTTCTTTCTCCTTAATAATTTTATTTTTTTTTAATTTCCATATTCTCCTATGTTTAGTAACCCTATGTGTCATAGCATCTTTATTACCTTCCTTGTGGTGAAATGACTTAAACCACCACCCCCCAAAAAAAAAAAAAAAAAAAAAAAAAAAGTTGAATTTGTTTCAATATACTGCTTCTAATTTTATATGCAAAAAAAAAAAAAAAAAAAAAATAAAAATAAAAATAAATAAATAAAAAAAAAAAAAAAAAAGATATCTTTCATTTGCCAATGTTGAACATTTTTACATTTTGTATCGGAAATCTGTAACAATATTTCACACTTTTACAATGTTCACCCTGTACAAGGCTAGGGAGTCCCTCAAGGTAGAGGGTTACAGAGTAAGAGGCACAGTTTATGCAGACATGTGGGGGAAGATAAGTTAACCAGAGACATTAACAGGTTAAGATTTTAGTGATTGGGGAAGAATTCTCTTGGAAGTCAGTTCCATAAAACAGCAGTTCACATGAAGAAACTGCTTGAGTGAAACTTATGTCTCATCAATGGATTACAAAAAGAATGACGGTGGTTCACTACAATGTGTGCAGCATGGCAGGTCTTAACCTAATAAGACGGAGACTGAGCAAACAACTGTTGTTCTGTCATCAGTGTTGTAGTAAATGAGCAATTTTCAATTGACTGGTTGATTTTGTTTGGTGCCATATCAACCTCTATGGGTTATTTAATGCTGAAATATAAATATTTTGAATGCAGTTTTATGCTTTCAACTATAGCTATTCCAACCGTAATTTTATGCTTTCAATTACAAATTACAGTTTTATGCTTTCAGGGTAAAGATATACTTTTTAGACAATTTATAGTTCATAAAATGTATTGTTGGTAATTTTACTATAAAAATGTACTGTTGATTTGGTTTTTTTTTGGCGGGGCGGTTACTATTTTCCCATATCTGGTACCCTAACAAGTGCTACCAACCTGGGTCAGGGTGGATCTGAGAATAACAGCAATTAAGAAGTGGTTCCACGCTCCTCAAAACCTTCAATTTTCTGATCAGAGGCCTTGCTGCTGGATGTAGTTTATTGTCATACCCAGGACACAATTTTCAATGAGAATATTGCATATTGTTATCAAATAATCTCAAGAATCTGCAAATTTTAGTTTTGTGTGACATGTAACTAGCTAAGACTTAGGTTAGGGACTTCTTCAGGCTATTATCTAAATAATGTTGGTAGAAGAGTTTCCAGTTCAAGATGTTACAGGAACAGTGATTGGGATAACGAGCCAATGCCCCCAGCCATAATGCTATATTTGGTGACTGAGGATACCACAGAAAGGCATATAGTATAGAATACTACAGTTAGTGACAGGGCCACATTTAACCAGTGTTGCACATTATAGTTTAAAAGATTTACCATTTTGTTGGGGAAATCATTGAAAGTCAAAGTTCACTTTGTTTGAAGACAAGCCTTACAAAATCAGCAATGAGGAATATAAGATACACTTACCTGCCATAAGACTGTCCTTTAGATTTAAAATGAACAACAGGCATATCCCAACTGAGGCAAAATTCCATCTGTTTGGTGCCAGAACCTGCTGGCACATGACATTTGCAACAGACAGCAGCAGCACATTCTTGATTCTTGGCCGTTTCCTTACTTTTCATCTCAATATTAGCATCTGACAAAAAACAAAAATGTATGTAATACTTGTAATTTTAATAGATTTTTTTCAGTTGTAATTTCATTATTGTTATATATATATATATATATATATATATATATATATATAGCGCAGCAGAAATACCTCTCACATTAGTTAGATGAAGACACCATTGCAGTGGTGAACATCTAGTTCAGCGTTTCTTAACTTTTTTTCAGCCCATGGACCATTTTTTTTCTTCAAAGATTTCAAATGGACTACTCCTACTTTAAGGCTGTTCAATCTTCACAGTAAAATATTCAATGAAAAGACAAAATTGTCTATTTACACTTTACAATTTATTTTAGTAAAATACTATATTTTTTTTATATGGATAAAAAAATATTTATATATATAGTATACATATATATATATATATATATAAAAAATAAAATATAGCACTGCATAATACCTATGTAATTTTGAAATTTTCAGATGTAATGGATGTGTGTAATTAAAATATTATATTTTTTAATTCTTCAAAATATCAATAATTTAGATATATTTTTGTGAAATGGCTACATTTTTTTATGCTACAAATTCTCTGTGGACCACTAGTGGTCCACATGGATTACGTTAAGAATCACTGATCTAGCTAATGTCTTACCATTATGTGGGAGGTATTTCTGTTTTATCCATAGAGTTATTGGTGTCTCTTGGATTTAGAATCAGCCCACTTCAAGTATATTGCTGCCTTTTTTTCTCTATTATATTCATTCATGTGCTTTTGTGATGATAAGTGAGATTATGTATGATCCTGATCTTAGGTTTATTATCTCAAGTTTTGAGATTAGCATAATTTTTTTTATCTTAAAAAATCCCAATGCATTTTCCTTATACACATTTGTTTTTCATTCCAACCTGAAGCCAAAATCAACACATCATGTTCAACAAAATGAGTTGTCTATAAGCTTATCCACTTTGTCTCATCATACATACATATACACATATATATATATATATATATATCCCTCCAAGCTAACAAAGACATAATTATAAAACAAGCTGACAAGGGCGGTTCAATCACTATCATGGACAGGAGTAAATATATCGCAGAAGCGGAAACCCAACTCAATGATCTATGTTTCTATAAAAAAAAAAAAAAAAAAAAAAACTCATTCGATCCCACTGAAGATTTCACATTTGAATTCCACTTTCTCATCTTACTACAGCATACAGGCACCAATCAAGGCTTTGATCCCGAGTAGCCCCAAAGACATTACACATTCTACACCCTCCCCAAAGTACACAAACTCCCCTAAAATAATCAAAAACACATCCACCAACCTCTCTATAGAAGACATAAACAGCAACCAACTTAAGATGCATAAGCTGATAGAATCTCTTAAAATTCAACCACACGGCCAGCCTATAGTTTCTGGTATAGGGACAGGCCCACATTTAACCAAAGTAGTTAAAAAAAAGGGAAAATCAGCAAATAGAAGGATAAAACATTTGGATAGAAATTTTGTAAATCTGCTGTCAAAAAAAATGGAGTGGATACAGAAAAAAAATCATAATAAAAAAATAAAGGCAAAAAGAGGGGAAAAGCATATATACACACATGTGTGTGTGTGTGTGTGTATCTTCTCAACTAAGTAACCAAAAAGAAGAATTCCAGAATCCCCTTTTATTTTAATTATAACATCCACAAACTTTCCCACACATTAACTAAAGATTTCCAACATTTAAAATTAGAACCCCCATTTCTGATTATATTGACAAAATCCTCAAACCTCTATTACCCTCTATTCCTAGCTATATTAAAGACACTACCGATTTCCTAAGAATTCTGAGTAATATAGATAGTTTACCCAACAATGCACCCCCAAGTGACCTTAGATGTTTCATCCTTATATTTTAACATTCCATATGAGGAGGGTATACTAGCCTGCAAAAATCTTTTAAGCACCAGAGACTTCTCCGAGCACTGGATATGAGATATTTCGAACCTTATATATTTCATACCCACACATAACTTCCAGTTCAACGAGCACCATTTTCTTCAAGTTAGAGACACAGCAATGGGGGATGAAAATGGCCCCCAGCTATGCCAAACATTTTCATGCATGCACTTAAACAGGATATGTTTAGCAGATACCACCTGGCACTTCTACACTACCACAGGTACATAGATGACATCTTCATATGGACATAGAACAATCTCCTAGATCTTAAAAAGCACCTTAACTTCCACCACACCATCAAATTCACTATAGAATATTCCCCCACATCTCCACTACACTATACACCACTGATAGACAATGCTACCTTAATTTCAATAGCTGCCACCCCACCAAGCTCAAAAAAAAAAATCTATAACCTTCAACCAATGCTTATGCATTAAACACATCTGTTTTCACAAGAAAGATTACAACTTACATATAGGATAACTTTACAATCATATTTTCAGTAAGAATTACCCATCCAAAATAATCAAAGAATCCATCACTAAAGCTTCCAAACATAACAGAAATACTCTTCTCAACTAAATAACCAAAAAGAATAATTCCAGAATTCCCATGGTCTTTTATTTTAATTATAACATTCGCAAACTTTCCCACACATTAACTAAAGATTTCTAAGATTTAAAATTAGACAATACTATTAGCAACTTATTTAATGATAACCCGCTACACATGAGGTGACAGCCCTCTCTCTTTAGACATTTAACATCATTGAAAATCTGCAACACATCACTTCACCAAGGGAATGTCATCTGCAACAAACCCTGGTGCCTGGTCTGTAAACGCATCAACACCCACATCTACATCTTGTATATTTACTTTTCTGTCACAAATGAGAGAAGGGGAATTATATGGGAGAAACCAGAACAGTTCTGTTTATGGTTCAATAACCACAAGAAAAGCATCAGGGACAACGACAACAATTTCCTGGTTTCTGCACACTTCAACGAACTTGGTCATAACATCGATGATGTCGGGTGTGTGCTTTTGGCATCCGGTTTTGTTAGCCAGGAGAACAGCCGCAGATCAGAGTTGAAGTTTCCTCTAAAAATAAATTCCCACATAAAAGGACTAAACAGAGATTTGGGTTTACTCAGGAAGTATAATTTCCACAAGGAAACCTATTATTAGCAATACCACTCCTCGAATGAGTAGGCAATGTGTAAACCTTTCCTTGGAGGGGGTATACACATTCGGATACTCACCAGTCACAGGGAACCATTCCTACGCTGGTGGTATCATGGATATGACTAACTTGAACAAGCTATGACTAGCTTAGACCAGCTAAGAACCAACTTGAATCAGCAGCCCGAGTGAAGACACTCAGGTCCCCACATTAAAAACTGACCTTGTGTCACACCCTGACTCAGTGGGGAGTTAAGTAAATCAACCCTTCCTTGGAGAGGTATACACATTCGGATGCTTGCCGGTCACATGGATCTGTCCCTGTGCTGGTAGTATCACAGCTATGACTAGGTTGGACTGGCTCTGACCTGCTTGGACCAGCTAAGACAAGCTATGACCAGCGACCCGAGTGAAGACACTCGAGTTTCAACATTAAAAACTGATCTTGTGTCACAACCTGACTCAGTAGGGAGTCAAGTAAATCAACTCCTTGAATTAGTAGGCCCTCCAAATTTCAACAGCCATACTTCCTTTATATACAAGCTTATATAAGGAGGAGGAAAGTTAATGTAGATACATATTATTCTTGTATTACATTTTCATCTTTACCTGTGTGGAGATTCATAAGTTTGTGTCTTAGCTTGGGTATATTTACACAGTGTGTGTGTATGTATATATATATATATATATATATATACACACACACCACACTTTTTTTTTTTTTTTTTTTTTTTTTTTTTTTTTTTATTATGGTTTTTTTTTCTGTATCCACTCCATTTTTTGACAATAGATTTCCAAGATTTCTATCCAAATGTTTTATCCTTCTATTTGCTCATTTAACCTTTTTTCTTTTCATTTTATCTTTATTACTTTTTTTCCTGTATTCCTACATATTTTTTTGTCTCATCTCACAGCCCATGTTTCTCAGATTGATAAGTTATCCCAACCAGACTCCGTCATTCTGAAATAGATAAGTTGGATGAATAATTTACAGCTACACTGACCACACACACAAGACGCCTCCCCCTCCCAACAACCTATGACACTCTTCCTCTATGTTTACAGTCTCACTTTTCCTGCTGACATGCTTTTACACTGATCCAAAGTTTAAATTTAAGTTCATTTTCATAAGTTTTGCACAGTGAGGACTCAGACAGAGATCGGGTTTTGGCTGATAATATGATCTTCACCAGAATTTACACTGTCCACAAAAAATATTTGTTGGTGAGTAACCCCCATTAATCTGATTTTTTTCTCATGCCATTGATGAAGGACAGTCATACCTCAAAATTCCAGACTTAATACCTTTTATTTCTGAGCTTCATTTCTGCCATATGGTTAATAATTAATATTTAATAAATGTTTTTTGTACCGTTTATATTGGTAGCTTTTTGTTTGCCCTTGTTTTATTAACCAACCTATCTATTATATATATATATATATATATATATATATATATATATATATATATGTGTGTGTGAATACGAATCGAAAGATGGAAAGAAATGGACAATATATATATATATATATAAAAACACACTAATTGCTTGATTACGAAATTCAATTATCCAAACATGAAGAGGAAAAGCAAAATCATCTGAACATTTTTCATTTATCTGAACTCAACCCAAATACAAATTAAATACTAGAATGTATTTAATCTCATAATTTAGAAAACCATGCTCAATGTTTGATGAAAATGCTGATGAAATCAGTTCAATTGATTCTTGTTAATTTCCTTGTTTTCATTCAAAGGACATGCATTTGAATTATCACAATGATCATGGTATTGCTGAACTTAGAACTGTACCAGAAAATGATGAAGAGGATGATAGTGAAGTTTAACATCCCCCCACTGCCCAATTTCAAACACCGGAGCAATGATTACATTTTACAAATGTTTAACACAAGGAAAAAAAAAATTGTGATAATTTTTCATCAAAAATAAATTGGACTAAGTATTTGAAAATGTTATTTGATGATATAAAATGTTAAATTTCATTCAGAAAATTTTTTTTTCATTCTTTTTCAGTAGCCGAAGTAATCAATTATGTAGAATTTTTAATTATCCAAAACACATTTTTTCAACATCTTTGTCTGTATAATCAAAGAAGTACTGTAACATGTGCAAAATTGTGTGGGCATATAAATGTTACACTCATAATTACTTATACTGATTATATATTTAAAAAAAATTATTAACATTGATAGAAATCTAAATGAACAATGAAAAAGACATTAATAAACCCCAAATTGGCTAATCTTTATTCTTGTTCATATTCCTAGTGGACAAATGAAATAAAAGCTTCAACAAAATGCATTTTAGTGTAGGGCTACAATCAGTTACCTGAATAGCATGCTAAGCAACATATGTAAAGTTTAAAAATATTCAGTCTATTTTGAATCAATAGAAAAAGAAGCCTATTATGCAAGCAAACACAAAAGTAAAGAATACATTCAAAAGTAAAAATAATTACAGTAGATTTTGGCTGGACAAATTTCATTTAATAATGGGTAAGCATCACATCCCTTTATAATGATGTGAAAATATAGCAATGGAAAGATAATGACAAACTTCAATGTATTTTCTACAACATTTTTTAACCAAGCAATTCAAATCAAACTTAAAATTATTGTGTCAATTATAAGTGTTAAGATTGTAATCTAAATTTCTAACTATATAACATGTTTTTTTCTAGGGATTGAAACATGAGAAGCATTTTTATAGGTTTTGAGGTAATTACTCAAAGATAAATACAAGGTATATTTCTATATTTCCTTTTTTTTTTTTTTTTTACTAACCACTTTTAGTTAGTTCACCATCTTCTGATAAATCCTTCCAGATTTTGTCTCCAGAGCCTTTTGGATCAAAGAAAACACTGTGACTAACAGAGACATCAGCCTGAAAGAGAGAAAATACAGGGTTACAAGTACAAGAGACAAAAAACAAGATTTCTTCAACAATGATTTTATTATAATATCATGCAAAGTTATGGTCATCATTTAAGCAAGTTAATTTGAGCCCTGAAGCAAAATAGCTTGGTACAGCTAATGCTACATATCAATGTATCTTGACAACCAAAATCTGTTGCAAAGGAGTTGCTGATGAGATTTTTTGTAACAAGTAGGTTTTTCCAGAATGGAGTTGCCAGCCCCATCCATGTTCAACCAGTTTTAAACTTAAAGACTAATTGCCAGCCAAGGCTAGGGAACTCAGTCTACCCTACTAAAGTTATAGTTGGGAGAATAGTTGGATTAATACCTTTTCCAAGGGTATTTGCATGCAAGTGAACAACAAATTCGGCTGGAATTTGAACTCTGCATGCCAATTCAACTTTTTGACCGGATAATCGCTACACTATTAACTCATCCATGGCTTTAAAAGCATTGTGAAGACTTCTGATGAAATTAATCAAACAACAGTAATGCCTTTCCTGTTGAAAAAAAAAAAAAAAAAAAAAAAAAAAATTTATATCCCTGGATTTGAGAGTTGCCATTTAAAAATAAAAAAAAAATAAATAAATAAAAGAAACGTGTATAACTACCTGATGGCGTGCAGCAATTCCATAAGTACATGCCATGTTCTGAATTGTTTGGTTAATAGTTACACCGGAGACAGCTTCAGCAGCAGGATCTTTGGATTCATAGAAAAACTGGTTCCAACAACCACCTTGGGAATCCTCCTTTACTCCTCGTCCATTCTTGAAGGTAAACATTATACTAACATCAATATCTTCTTCACCAAGATTATTCACACTCCACACAAAAACAGCACAAGGGAAGCTGGTGTCCTGAAAACAGACAAGCACAGAATCTGAAATATTTCTTCTGCACTCAATTTAAATAAAGGAAAAAAAAAGTAACTGTTGAGGGAAAGCTAAAAATAACAAATATTAATGGGATATTTTGAATAAAAAAAAAAAAAGAAAACATTAACAACACCTGCTTTATTTTTTGTTATAATTTAAAATATAGTAAAACTCAAAGATACTTCACATGAACTAATTTTAATGCTTAGATTTTGATACAGAGTTCGAAACATTTCTCCTGCTTCATGTAAACTGCATATTAAACCCATCAAAATTAAAACAGAATGGTTATGTTTGATATTCTGGCAATTATAAGTTTTCTTTTTATTATTGATAAATGTCATGTTACTTTTTCATCCCTGAGTATTATATATAGTTACTTCAACTTTATAAAATATCTAAGATTTTTAAGATTAATAGCTTAGATGGAAATATATTACAAAGCTCTAGACTAAAGCAGAGACTTTACCCAGTTTGGTGTGTCAAACTGGTTTTATATATATATATATATATATATATATGGCCACTCATATTCGAGGATACCCATCTATTAGGGCAGCTAGCCAATCCCTATTGCAGATGCTTGCTCAGGTGCATTTGTGTTTATTCAACATCCACAGAGCCCACCTGTGGTTTATACTGCAACTATGCTGAGCAGACCTTAGTTACAGTTTCGGGGAAAGACCATGCTATCTAGCATGATCAACAATTTGAACGAGGCCAGCACGCTCAAGCCCCTGGCCATGATGACTTGTGACTTTGTGCTAGCACAGTTATCAACAGCACCCAAGGGCTCAGTCTGCACAATTTCACTCACAAGATGGTTTTCAGACACTTTCTAAAAGGTGCCATGCACTTGGATTGACCCCTCCAGTCCGATAACATCAGGAAGTCTCCTTCCTTACAAATTGACTAGGGTGATATTCGAATCTGGGTCTCATGGTCAGAATGCGAACATTCTAACCACTCGGCTACATGCCCATATATGTATGTATATATATATATATATATATATATATATATGAGAGAGATATATGCATACTATTTTGTGTAACAGAATTTTTGCAAGCACCTAAATGTATAAATAAAGGGAAAATAAAATTATATTGTGACTATCAATCAATGCAAGTTGGTCATAAAAAAAACAAAAAACTATTGAAACAATTTTTTTTCTCTAAATTTTATCACCAAATGATAAGATCAGACATTAATGCATTCTTGTGTCAGACAATGAGCAAGCACCTACACAAAATTTAGAATCCACAATCAGAATCTGGTGTAAACATGCAAATATACATTATATTATTATAACTCCTCAGTAATATTTTTGTGTGACTAACGTTCAGCTATAATGACATAAAATACAATTAATGTTTTATGTTAGCAAATGATTTAAATATAAAAATGAGTGAGCAGAAAATAATGAGAATGCTTACTTTTTCTACCTTCTCAACTGAAACATATTGATTGGAAAATTAGTCTATAAACAATTTTCGCATTACTTTCTCATGCTACTGTTTTGTTTTGAGACTCATAAATTGAATAAGATTATTTGAAAATAGAGTAAGACTTATTGGACAGAGAGAAAAAAAATCATTTACTATATATGTGTGGGTGAAAACAATTATCAGCTGCATTCTTCTTCTATTTGGCCATATCTATTCATTGTGTTTCTCCACAACTTCTCCTTCATAGCCATTATCAACTTCATTACAAATGTAATTTCTTCACTTGTTTGTAATTTTCTTTGCTTATCTTTTGTTTGGCAGAATGCAACAATACAAATCCTTTGAAACTAAATAACAAATGTGTCAGACATTGTGTGGATTAATGATCTTATTACAAGGTATGAAACCAATTTTTTCTCCAACTTTTGTCATATATGCCATATGTAATGAAAATAGTTCTCCCCTACCCTTGTCTGTACTATCTATTAGGTTGGTGCAAAAATAATGTCGTTTTTGATGTTAAGTTGAATGTCAAAAAACGACATTATTTTTGCACCAACCTAATACTAATTCTGTAAAATGTAATATACACTCATGGTACCAACCCATCATGCCAAACCTCAGAGTAATGTGTGTAAAACAAGTGGTTTCCCTATTTTTATAATAAAGCTTCCTTATTCTTTTTCTCCTGAGCAAAGAAATCCACACAAGCCTGATTCATACATTTATCTGTAAGTTTAATAATGTACACTACTTCTATTTTTCCCCCTTCTCCTTACATATACTATCTTCTATAACAGATTTTTCAACGTTATGTGATAGCAACAAAAATGATGAGAATAATAAAGAACTACTGGAAATCTTATAACTTCTCAAAATGAAATGTATCAATAATTATCATCTTAAAATCAATCACATTAGAAACTTTTAGAAACAACTATCCTAAAATACCTGTATAATATTTAAAGGTTTTTGCAGTTTTTAATTATTATATTTATGACTTAAAAGAACAAAAAGAAGTCAAATATACAGGAAACAGAAAACATCCAAATTTACCTTATATTCATGGGGGTATATGGGAGACACTTGGCGACAGATTAATTGGACTTTGTGCTCAGGTATTTTGTAGATAGTCCATGCACGAGGATATAAAGCGTGATAAGTAGCATCTTCCCCTTTTAAATTCCAATTCCAGGAATCTAAACAACCTTTTTTATGCTTCCTTACACACAATACTTGCTGGTGGACTGTCACATTTTTCTTCCGAATACATACAATAAACTGTAAGAAATTTTAGAAAAGACTTTAAAATAGCAAATTTTATTTTTATTTAAAATAAATCATTTATAAAATTTATATCACAAAATCAAATTCACTTTTATGAGTAGATATTTAGCAACATTGCAAGTTCTGATAAGGAAAAAAAAAAAAAAAAAAAAACTAAGCAAAAAACCTAAAACACAAACTTCAATTTTCATGCTAAACTTTTTACTGATTAATGTTCAATCACTGTGATTCATCACAGAATAGAAGACACTGACAAAGAGATTGTTAAAAAAAATATTTGTTGTGTAATATTATAAATCATTTGCTACTAAGGTCTCTGAGTAGTAAAACTGAAAATTGTTGTTGGACCCGTTTCACTGGTTATGGTGATCTGCTTGTATCTAGCACCTATGTGATATATATATATATATATATATATATATATATATATATATATATATATATATATAAAAAGGACGTTTTTTTTTTTTTTAGGATAAGAAGGGCAATAAATTACATTATCAGATCTGATGACCAGAAACCAGGAAGTGTTTGTATATATATTTTCTGTGTTATTTTTTAATTGATACAATTTATTTAAGTAAATGCTACATTTTTTTAAATAAACAGTATTAATTACATTTATCGGCCTGAATGTTTGAGAAATTTCATAGAAAATATAGACATGTTTAATTGGACACTTTCAACAATGAGCTATATCAAGTGGATTCTGGGGACTTTCAACACAAAATTCAGTCAAATTAAAAGAATTTTTGCCATATATTGTCTACATATTTCTCTCACCCCCACTCAACTTCGAATAATGCTAACAAAATATGCCCCAAAACAAAATTTCTCAAAAAGTTCCCAAATACTAAAAACAAATTAAAACAGCAAAATGTAAGAAAATTGTTCATGGGAAGATATCTCAGTTCTTTTCCTATGTTTAATCATTACCTGCTTTTGGTGCGATAGGTCGAGTACCAGTTTTTCACATAACTTTTCTTGTATTTTTCAGAAAATCATGATCTAGACCTCTATTCCTGTGTTTTTTTTGGATTTGGAGAAAATTCCCCAAGAAGAAGTCTAAATGATAATTTGGGCTTTTTACTGCAGACCTGGATTACTAGACCTAAACTTTTTTTTTTTTTTTTTTTAATTAGAAATGTGAAAGTCTTGTTTTAATTTTCCCCATAAGTATAGATGATGTTAATACAGATGAAAAGCATTCAAGGGGCTCAAAAACTACAAATGTCTATTTGGCTCTATTGTGCAAACCAATAAAAACATTTTCTCTGAAAAAATAAATAAATAAATAAAATATATACATTACCTCAAGTGTCTTTTACTTAACAAATAGAACTTGTTGAGATATTCATTTCTACAACATTGTATGTCTTTACTCCTTCACACTTAGGAAATTTGCTGCTTAATCTGAACCACATACACAACAATCCAGTGGATCGCATATCTCATTGCAAGATATAGTAAGCTTCATACAATTGGAAAAAGGTTTATTCTGCCAACAGTGGGGTTCTGGCACACAAGTCACTTGAACAAATTATTAAAATTATTCCTCTGCAATAACTCTCTTCAAAGAAAAGTAGATGAAATGGTTAAAAATATTGAAAGCATGTTGTGCAGCATGCTAATTTGCCTTACGGTTAGATAAGTGCAATAAAATTTGCTTCTTGCTTATATTTCTTTCATCAGGGGTTAAAATTTGGTTCAAGATCTGTTATTTACAAGGCAAATAGAAACTGATACAAAAGGGGAATCAGTATCTCATGGTGAGAATGTTTTTCAGAGAAAGACATCTTGTTTGTCAGGATTCTTGCATGTGCAACAGATGAAGCAAAATCAATGACAGAAACAGCGTGTAATCCAAAGTTCATATCTGTTCACGAAAATTCTAAAGACGTTGATTTCACAAATCATTAAGCACTGTAATCACAGCAATAAATAGAATCAAGGCATGTGCACTTAATTCCTGATTCATGATAGCAGTGCTGAGAATGAAGATTTTTGTTGTTGATGCACAAAGAAATTAGAGGGATGCCAAAAGGTAACTACCAAACATGTTTACATTTGAAAAAGAGTTGAATTTTTTAGATTCCCATTCTGTTGTATTAAGTAATAAACTTAAAGGAAACTGCTTGCTTGTCATGCAAAAGTTACTTTGCAACTACAAGAAAATGAGGTTAAATTTCTCAGTCAAATCAAACTTTTCCATGCTTCCATCCAAATAAAGATTATTCAAACATAACAGTCAGTCATGAGCTCTTCCAATTTTTGAGCCTCTCTTAATTGGAGAATGATAATGGTAATATTAGCTGTTTCCTTACAAGAAAACATTTGGCATTCATGAGCAGCTAGTACTGTATGCAATTGAAATTTATTAAATCTTTCTCTTAAAACAATTTTTCACAAAAATAAGTTTCTAAAGCCCAGTAGCTGTTGTCACTACTTCCAGTATTGATGGGGAGGGGGTGTTCTTTCTTAACCTTTTATTTGAAGTAATGTGGAATGTCACCATCTTGATTATGTAATTTTTCTGAGACTTACATGTGCTATCCATTGTAGTTGTTGCTGCTGCTGAAACTCAAGTGATGTGGTTTCTGTTATTTGGTGCAGTTCTTTGTGATTCTGTAGCACCAGTTCACAATGTTTAACGGAAGATGATCTTTGCCAACATCCACAGGCTCTATTCACTCAAAGCCATTTTTAACCATTGATCTTAGAAAGCCGTTGTATACAGCTGACAGTTTAGATATTTCTAAATGGTTTCATACCATGCATGATATCTATATGAAAGTTTTGATCTGACAAGGCTATTTAAGAACATGACTTAGTTTTCAGGTTGATTCAGTTTTCTAGCAATTTTCATTGTTGGTATAAACTATCTCTGGTTCAGTCTATTCTATGTTCAATTTTGTTATCTCCTATACTTAATTTGTTATAACTGATCTATACACAAAGGTATCTTAAATATGTTTAACTATTATAGTTTGATTTATTGTAATTCCTTACTATTAAGTCTTTCATATATTATCTTTATTATGGTAAATATGAAATCTTACCATGATATTGTTAGAAATTTTATTAAACTCAGTGGTGTAGCTAGAGCGGGTGGAGATGGTGGTCTGTCACAGGTGCCACTTTTATGGAGGCACCTTTTTTGTCTGCTGTAGGCTATAAGCTATATTGAAATAAAAGTAGTTTTAATGTCGTGACAGTACTCACAGTTAAAAGAGCTTTTCAATATTGAGCAACTTAAAATGTGGCAGATATTTTGGCCTATCTACTGTCTATAGTGTGACAATTGACAGATAAAATGGTTTTTGAGGATTTCATTGAAGAATATGCCAAGAAAAAGGCAAGAAATGATACTTTTTAGAAAGTTGTAATTTTCATTTCAGAAATAAAGAGTGTCCTAATTTTTTTTTTTACACTTTTTTTCCCTATATGTCATTTTGCTTTTTAACTGTTACTGGTAAAATTTAAGTTTATTGGTGTGTATTTAAAGCATACTATACACGAGTAAGTGAACATACTATTATAGTAATACACAAACTAGTTTTATAACTTTAAGAGTGAGTTATTGTGCAATAAGTATTTTCAAGTTTTGTGTATTGGTTAACCTGAATTTTTTATTCATTTTTAAACATATATTTTTAATACTTACAATGTTGCCATCTATACTAGTATATAAACATCGCCAATACAAAACAAATCAATTACAAACAAAACCGTTAATGTTTAACATAGAAATAAATAAAATACCTGGTCAGCCACAACAGTTGTATGATCATAGCAACCAGGTACCAATTGAAATCGACAAAATTCACCTCGATAGCCTCTACCAATTGTACCGCACCCAATGCCACCAATGGGAGCACCTAGAAAGGAAGTAACATAAAATTTCCTCAAGCAAATTTGTATCAGGTAGCCAAACATTAATTACAAACAATGAAAAAGGTAAGTAGAAAATTATACACAGAGTTAAGAAAACAATGAAGTAACTAATAAACAACCTTGTTTGTGATGCAATTAGAACAGTTTTTATTTTTGCTAAGCAGGAAATAATTTTTATTGCTTTCATGTAGGTCACTATAAAAGAACAGTAATTGCTTTTCAGACACACTGCAAGTAATTGATATTTAAAAATTGCTTTAGTAATATCCAAAATGTTCTTTTTAGGTCTGCCTTTTTATAAAGAGGAAACTAAATACATAACAGGTTCCTTGAAAAAATAATAAGTTGTTTAAAGGAAATAAAAGGAAGTGTGAACATTAGACAAACTTATGAGAAACTTATTCAAAACTTCTCAACTGACAAAAAATGTTTAAGACTCCTCCCTTCTTTGTACTTAGCAAGGAAGGAAGGGTTGCTTAAAAGGTTTCTCTCAAGGGAATAATAAACATTAAGTCTCCATGACGTCGAGAAAAATTAATATACGTTTTTTTTTTTTCTTTTGATTGATTCGTTTTCTATGGCTTATCAGCCCTTTGCAGATTATTTAAAGTCAGAAAATATTTTAGGTTGTAAAAATTTTTTTTTTTTTATTTTGAACATAAGGCTTTTAGTGATACAAGTCTTACTAATTAGCTGGGGGAGAGAAGAAGCAATTTGAACGTAAGTTAATATAATGAACCCAACAAGAATTGGAACTCAGCTCTCTGATTAACAATTTTAATCAATTACACTACCTGCACATCCATAATTGCAGCACCTGCTATGCCCATCTAGGTACTGACCAGGCTCAATGTTGCTTGACTTCAGTGATTGCATTTCAATGTGATGAGGCCATTAGCCAAAATTTAATATGGTTAGAGAAAATGATAGAGAAATTAAGATTTGTAAGATAGAAATTAAATTATGTTTTTAAAAGTGCTTATAATTAAAATTACAAGTTTTTATACAATTTAAATATCAGGTTTTTTTTTTTTTTTATGAAGGAAAATAAATTTGAGCTTTTGTAAGCAGTTAGTTTTGTGGCCTAATTGGTAAGGCAACTGCCCTGGTCACACAGGCTTCCAGAAGAGAAATCAAAGTTTGAATCTTGTTCTTTATTTCTGATTCAAGCAGTTTATTAACGATAGTAGAATTATTGTCTGGGTGTTGTAAAAAGCAATAGAAGGTGAAAGAACGATTAAAAAAAAAAAAAAATAAAAATAAAAAAAAAAAAAAATAAATAAATAAAAAATAAATGAATAAAAAAAAAAATAAAAATTGTAAAAAATATTCAAATATGTTAATTTTAAAGTGATCATTTGCTTTCTGAAACTTTAAGAGTTATCATTCCAAGAGATGCTCAAGCCATTGATCTCATTTTCATTGTTATTGCAATCATCTGATCCATTCTTAGCTGCACAAGTTGTGTGGAAAGAATAAGGCTCTCCCCACCCCCAGTATTCAGTAATCCTACAAAACAGCAAGGATGATACCCCCCCCAAATAATACTTACCAACCCCAATTCTTATATCTTGCATAGTACAGGTAATTCCAGATTTTATACACAAGATTGTACTTTAATACATTTGTTGCTAAACAAAAGAAATTCATACCAGACTGACTTACAGTTTCATGTTCAGCCAATGTCAAAAATTGCTTTCAGTTTTTCACTCTTCAGCAATGTAACCGATATAATACTTGGACTTAATCCCAGAACATTTATAACCACTTAACCCCTAAAGTCTTTTCCACACTGATTGTATATTTTAAGAAGGTTGAAGAATGAATTGGCTGAAACACTGGTATAACAAAAAGTATTAATTCAACACTTGACATGATTGTTTGCTGTTAATCTTTTATGAAAAGAAAATGCTGTAAGAATTTTTTTTTTCCTTACATTCATATGGATAACTTAAGAAACATACAGAGTCAATGCAATATAGTTTTTAAATTTATGAAAGATGATCTCAAAGTAATAGCTCATATCTACAGAAACTACAACAGATACAGAGAACACAATAACTGCATTGGATCAAGAAAGTTTTCATCTACAAAACACAGTCACTAATATTGACTATACAGTTTGGTCTGTGTTGAACAAGAACCTGCACCTTATGCTCAATATGTAGCTTGTAAAAAACACACCTCACTGTTGCTACTATTGAGAAACATTACCCATCGCCTAGCTGTGCTCATATCCACTATTTGGTCTCTAAACATTCAACAGGCATTGAGGAATATAATAATTTTTTCTACATGGAGTAATTCTATGACACACCTCTACACTTTCATATCAGACACCATTTTGCCAAATTCCTATCTGTAACAAAGGGAAAAATAGATTACTGGCAAGAAGGTTCTGCTTCTACTGCTATACCACCACCATTTGACAAAGTACGCTAACATAAAATGGGAGTCCAATTTGCTAATCCTTGTAATATGCAAGTATTACACATTGGTTCCTGCTTAAAATTCCATAAGATACATATAAAAATATATAAACTTCTTACACTGAATCAATGTTAAGTTGCACGGTTTGGGAATTAAATATGGAAATTTACAAGTACATTTCCAAAATTTCATCCAGTACTAAAAATGGTAACAGTAATTTTAACTGTTTCCTTATAAGGAAACATTCAAGCAGCCAGTGCTACCATTGGTTGGAATTTATCAAATCTTTCTAGTAAAACAATTTTTCAAGAAAATAGGTTTCTCAAGTCTAGTAATTGCTATCACTCTTTCCAGTATTGATAAATTTCCCTAAATTTTTGCTCGAATTAATGTGGAAGGTTAACATCTTTATCATGCCACTATGTCCTCTTCAAGTTTATATATATATATATATATATATATATATATATATATAATCCATTTTATTTGTTACTATTGTTGAAAGTCCTCAAATGATGTGTATTCTGTTATTTGGTAAAGTTCTTTGCAATTCTGTAGCACCAGTCTATAAAGCTCAAAGAAGGATGGTGTTTGCTAAAACTTGCAGACTTCATTAGCTTCAAACAATTTTTAACCCTCAATCTGTGAAAGAAGTTAAATACAGCTGGTAGTTTAGGCATGAGTTTGATGCCATGTATGACATCCATATGAAAGTCTCAATCTGACAATAATATTTAGGAACATAAGAATTTTAGATTTATGATTTGGTTTTGTGGCAATTTGCAGTATTATACAAAACTACCTCGAGTGAAGCATATTCTAAGTTCAATTTCCATATCTCTAATTCTAAATTTTTTTTATAACTGATCCCGGTATTTGAACTGTTTATTATTTACCAATTTCACATTCTGAATTTTTATGACAAATCCAAAGTATGTCCTATCATTAGTTTCATTCCAATTCTAGACCATAATTTCTTTTTGGAAAGGTTCATCTCGAGTCTTATTTCCTGGAACATTTGCTAGGAGGTGGTTGATTCTTTTTTTCTGTTCAAGATTATTCTTAGATCTTAACTACAAATAACTATGCCATTGACATAACACCTCTTATTACACTGGCCTCAGCAGGAAAGCAGGGATGATGTTTTCTATTAGTAGATTCATTTGGGATGTGGCATAGAATTGTTAAATGACCAGTGTCCATCTTTTCACACCTGAGCTTGTATATATGTTGAACAAGTCTAGCAAGTGATTAAATAGATAGGGGCTTGCATTGTAATCTTGATGAGATTTGGAATTTTTCAGTACTGGGGTCTTCAGACATGTACAACTTTATGCACCTATATAGTTCCTTTATCAAATCTAAACAAGTGTAGCGTAAGAGCTTGGAAGACAGACTTATAAAAACTGACTATCCCTCATTAAACTTAAATGTCTATTAGCTGAACCAGTTGTATATTTCCCACTTGCATAAATGACTTGTGTTCTAGTCCAGGAAAAAAGGTAGGTGATTATCAAGGCAGACAGGTTTTCCAATTAAGAATATTATCACAACACGAGCTTACCACTCCCTAGTTTGGTATAATGCTTATCAAAGCTAAGTAAATGTCTTCATTTATAAAATTATGTTATCTCTTAAGTGCAACCATGTGTGTGCCAAAAGTGAGTGGGTCACCTCTTAGGAACAACAATAGTCTTTGTTATTTGTTTTGGCAAAAGCCACTCTAAAATGAACTATTTTTCTATTAGCACAATCATTTAAGATACTAGATTTGAAGCATGTGTAAGTATGAAGGTAATGGTATGCGATTAAAAATCCAACCTAAACTTGAATAATAAAAGAAACATTGATTAAAATCTCTGTCCTCTATATTGTGTTGGATGTTTTATGGAAATAACATTAACAAATAAATAAAAACAATTTCACACCAAAGGCAGAGATCCTTGTAGAAAAGGACTTTAGAATAGATAATTACAACGTTAGGTCAAGTTAAAAACAAAAAATAATTTTATAAAAACAGTGAAACTACTTACGACAAAAATTTGAAGACTATGGAAATTGGTGAGTAAAATTAGATTTCAATTGAATGTTTCTGAATATTTTGAGTTACTTTTAGGTGATATTTGGTGGAGTAGTATTTGAAATCATGGTAAAGCAGTACCAAAGAATTTTATGTTGCTAAAAAATGTATTAGAAAATATAACCTGCAGAAAAATTCTGAGCAAAACAAAAATCTATCTTAAAAGGTAATTGAAAAAAAAAGTTTATCAGTTGAAGAAATAAAACTGTTGTGTTACATTTCAATGATGACAATAAAATTTTTTTGTAGTTTAATAAGTTGTTTTTAAAAAAGAAAGTAAGAGAAACATAAATTTTTAGAAAGGTATCCTAGATACAGTTATGTATGCAATAAACTGAAGTGGCAAAATATTAGAGAGACTGCAATACACTACATCATTTTATCTTTCCCGATTTGTCGACACAGATTTTGTCAGATGACGTGTCATAATAGGTAAAGAGGTAGTGCAACTGTGGCAGCTATAGGATGCAAGGA